GTGCAGTTAATGCAGACTTAAACATGAGGTTTTGTTTAGATGTATTTTACACACCACTGTAACAGCTAAACCTTTCCCACAACCTGGATGCAAATGGCATAAGATTCTCTTCAGTTTCCATTGTCACCTCAGTTATCTTTCTCAAGTTAACCAAATCAGTCCCAACAACTCTAAGTAGAGCTTCTCTCTTTGCACCTGTGTCTGCTCTTTTGTTGCTAACCTCCTGTGAGAGAGCACTAGTTAATGAGCGAGAAAGATAAGTCTACAAGCTTCTGTGTCTGACACACTATAAATGTTTACTACCTTCTCCAGTTTTGACAAGAACTCTAAAGGATCCATGTTATCAGTCAAAAGTACCCACAGCTGTAAAAAGACTTTGAATGTCCATAAAAGATGGCTGTCTTATAACAGCTTGGCCATTTTCAGTTCTTTGATAAGGAAACCTCTCTTTTCCATTACCAGTCTGCCTTGTTTGCACTGGTTCTATTGGGAACCTCACAGAATCATTTAAAGGCAATTATTCAATTGCAGTTATTCTCATCATATTCAGAATTGGATTGTCTAGTTGTCACTTCAAACAAACATCTAAATGACTCCCTCTCTGATTCGGCCATTTAAATTTCTTGCCTCAGTTTTACTGTCTGTTCCTTCAAAAGACATGACATTGTCACTGACTTGAGTTTAACAACTTGTTTTCTGTTCTCTAATATTTTGTTAGTTACCATGTATGAGACAAAAAAGCTTGAAGTGCAATCAAATATTCATGTTGCGATTAATTGCTAATGCTTTTATTTAAAAATTCCATTTAAATAAATATTAGTTTTTTATGAGCCCAAATATTCGAATACAATATTTTTTGAATAATGCCCATCCCTTGCTTGTTGTTCTGTACCACCACTACCTCCTCTTGCTTATCCTGTAGTCTTCGGATTCTATTTATCTGGGTCCGTATTTATCAAGACCCTGTGAATTACTCGCAAGAACACTGCTAAGAATTTAATTGATGATTCACGACACTTTTCTGTGTCACAAATTAAATTTTGTATGACGACATAGGCATGGACCAATCACTGAATAGATTTCCTTATTTAAGAATATTCTCAGATATATTCACATTGAATGGTGAAATTCCTAAGAGGAGTTTACATTCAACATACATTTGACAATAAAGGATTTTCAAGAGAATACATTATGATATACACATTGAAAATGAAAGATAAACACGTTTTCCACCATGTCTTAATTACAAATTTTAAACTGGTGTGCTGTTAGTGTTGGGGCGATATGCTCAATTGTCATATTGTCCTAGCGTCAGCCTGTGAGGTCACCGATACACAATATTATCGTGATAATTTTTTAATTACCGTATTGGCCCAAATATAAGACGACCCCCCTTTTTCCAGATGTACCTTTTGGAAAAAGGCTTTTTAAAAACCAAATCTTGTTTTTTCTCAGTAAAACACATTTTGTCTTCAATTATTTTCATATTGAATATTTTTCCTATTTAAATTTTTGTTTTGAAAATATGGTAAAAACTGGTAAAATGTACCAACAATCACATTGAAAAAATATACACTTTTTGATATACCATTAAAAAAAAATTCTATCTGAATTAGGACATTTAGGCTATCCATCTAATAGTAACCTACCAAAATCTTATTAACAGTAGAAGTTAAATCTTACTGTAGTCTTCAAATCTGGGTACTGTCTTAAGTTTTGAAATCACAAAGGGAGTTTCCCATCAGGCTAAGTGGTCCTTTGGTTGAGTTAATTCCCACTACAATATGGCACTGATCAACTGAATCATCTTATTTTTCTGTTAATTTACATTGGCCTTATTCTCTCTGAAGGGAGACACAAAATGTATTATTACATTTGTACTAGATATCATATCACAACATAAGATACAATGATGCCTAGCATCAATGATACTAGACTTATGTCTGTTGCCTGGTCGTATTACCAACTATAAGTAAAAATCCTTCATTTTCAACCTGACAAAACATATTTTACTATTTTGGGGGGGAAAAATAGCATGTCATAGTTTCATGCTTTCAAAGATTTGTTTTTTCCCCCTTACCAAGGCCAAAGTGCATGCTTAAACTCCAATAGATTAAAATGTCTATAGATCTCTGAAGAGATACATTCCAGCTACCGCTCGAGAAGAGATGTATGTGCAGGGTTAAGGTTAGGAGAAGTGTATATTTATTAGCTGTGCTTCAACACACCTAAACTGACATTCACTGGATCTGAAGATAAACTTGTGGGTCAAGCCATAAGAGATTGGGTTCACTGAGCACTAGTCGGGGAAAAGGTTTCTGCAGCACATCAGGTCTCGCAACCCATGTGTCTACTCCTTGTTGCTATGGCAACACAATTACGGTCTGTAGATTGAGATTCCAGAGTCATTTAAAATGTGTTCCCTGAGTAACAATACAACAACAATGTTTATTTATAGAGCACATTTAAACACAACCGAGATTGACCAAAGTGCTTTACAAATAATAAAACACAAATAAAATAAAAGAGTAACAAGGAAATCAACAAACTAATAAGATCAGCAGAGTACAGTAAAAAAAAAACAGGAAACATACTATAACATACAGTGGGCCAAGACCAAAGAGCTGTCAAAGGACACCAGAAACAAAATTGTAGACCTGCACCAGGCTGGGAAGACTGAATCTGCAATAGGTAAGCAGCTTGGTGTGAAGAAATCAACTGTGGGAGCAATTATTAGAAAAGGGAAGACATACAAGACCACTGATAATCTCCCTCGATCTGGGACTCCACGCAAGATCTCACCCCGTGGGGGCAAAATGATCACAAGAACTGTGAGCAAAAAGCCCAGAACCACACGGGGGGACCTAGTGAATGACCTGCAGAGAGCTGGGACCAAAGTAACAAAGGCTACCATCAGTAACACACTGCGCCGCCAGGGACTCAAATCCTACAGTGCCAGACGTGGCCCCCTGCTTAAGCCAGTACATGTCCAGGCCCGTCTGAAGTTTGCTAGAGAGCATTTGGATGATCCAGAAGAGGATTGGGAGAATGTCATATGGTCAGATGAAACCAAAATATAACTTTTTGGTAAAAACTCAACTTGTCTTGTTTGGAGGAGAAAGAATGCTGAGTTGCATCCAAAGAACACCATACCTACTGTGAAGCATGGGGGTGGAAACATCATGCTTTGGGGCTGTTTTTCTGCAAAGGGACCAGGACGACTGATCTGTGTAAACGAAAGAATGAATGGGGCCATGTATCGTGAGATTTTGAGTGAAAACCTCCTTCCATCAGCAAGGGCATTGAAGATGAAACGTGGCTGGGTCTTTCAGCATGACAATGATCCCAAACACACTGCCCGGGCAACGAAGGAGTGGCTTCGTAAGAAGCATTTCAAGGTCCTGGAGTGGCCTAGCCAGTCTCCAGATCTCAACCTCATAGAAAATCTTTGGAGGGAGTTGCAAATCCGTGTTGCCCAGCGACAGCCTCAAAACATTACTGCTCTAGAGGAGATCTGGATGGAGGAATGGGCCAAAATACCAGCAACTGTGTGTGAAAACCTTGTGAAGACTTACAGCAAACGTTTGACCTCTGTCATTGCCAACAAAGGGTATATAACAAAGTATTGAGATGAAATTTTGTTATTGACCAAATACTTATTTTCCACCATAATTTGCAAATAAATTCTTTAAAAATCCTACAATGTGATTTTCTGGATTTTTTTTCTCATTTTGTCTCTCATAGTTGAGGTATACCTATGATGAAAATTACAGGTCTCTCTCATCTTTTTAAGTGGGAGAACTTGCACAATTGGTGGCTGACTAAATACTTTTTTTCCCCACTGTATATGTTAGAAACATATATGTTATAAGCCAGGGTGAAAAAATATGTCTTTAGATAGGATTTAAAAATACTAATAGATGGGGCACTATTAGTAAAAATACTAATAGATGGAGTACTAGGAGGGATTTTAGATGCTACTTATAAGCGTGTCTAAAAAGGATGCTTATTGGTCGTATTTAGAAACATTATGGGCCTTTTTGATACTATGAGATCAGGTTCAATACTTCAGTACTTAGCTCAGGTCTGTTTTCTCAGAAAATGCAATATGCCATGTTTAAGTGTAAATTTACCTCCAAAAGCAGTCTATATGGTAATGTATTGTTGACTTTTAGGGCATTGGTAGCTGGTAGTGGCTATTATTCCATGTTGGACCATAGATGAACAGATCATTCTTCAATACTTTGAATATGTCTTGCTTACTGTAAAACACAGGCCAGCATTGCAGTTCCTCTACAGGAAATCAAAGCCAATACTTATTTTCTCACTTTGTGGCATGACAGGTTCTTTGGCAAGCGCCTTCATTGCATCAGATGCTTGAAACGGCTGCTTTCAGTTGAGTCATAAAGCTATAAATTCGCAAAACATAAATCAGCTACCAATCTCAGAAAGGACAGTGAAAAAGTTGACAAACGAAAGCTATTCATTGATAACAGTAAATTTAGAAGGTGTTTTAATAGTCACATATTGTTTGATGTCAGGAGTGTTGAATTTGAGTGATTTTGTTTTAGAGAAATAACTGTTTCCATATCAATATATGACGGCTATAACAGATTGCAACTAAAAAATAAGTTCAGGAAATGAGAAATTCTCTCTCTCTCCCTTTTTTGTGAAAAAAAAAACTATTTAAAGGTTTTTTGCCAGTTTATATGACTGATTATATTCTAGTTTCATGTCTCTGTCATAGTCTTTTCCTTCTCAAATAATTTAAATTCAAATCATTATTTATTTATTTTTATTTTTATTTTCATTAAAGTAGCCATGCCATAAATGGGATAATGTACAGTCAGCCTGTCAGGGTTTATTTTGTAGTAATGGCTGCCTGACTGTACATTATTCTTCAAACCCTGAACCAGGTTAGGGATAGTGTGGTAATAAAAACAATGAAATTAAATTAAACTTTGAATAATTTGATAAATAGTAAGCCACTTCTGCTCCTCCTCCTCTTCTAATATCCCTCACCCCATCTCCTTGCTTTTTTTTAGGCAGTTTGTTGATTAGTGAAGTAGTCAACCTCCTGGACCAGTCTTCTCTGCAAGCACTAAAGAAAGAGTGTGGCGGTCTCCAGACTCTACTGAAAAACAACTACCAGGTGTTCAGAGGTATTTAGCCCTGTTCTAGCACTCTGTATGCCAGCTACACTGCAAAATTGATTTTCTTAATCAGTATTTTTTCCTCATTGGCAGATATTTTTTGTTTTAAGCAAAAACGAACAATATTTAGTTTTATTTTTTTTAGAAAATAATACTTAATATCTTAAGTCATTTTCACGTTTCGATTCAAGAATGTTTAGATGTTGCCGGCACCAGTAGTCTTGTGGGCGTCCCGAATTCATGTCCTGGCTCATGGACCCTTTTTGATCTCGCCCCCCCTCTCACACTTCCTTTCAACTTACTGTTCTATCAAAATAAAGGCATAAAACGCCAAAAATAAATCTTAAAAAATGAAAATAAATGGCCAACATTTAGTTACCCTTTAGGAAGTCACACTGCATCGGAAACACTTTGGAAATGCCTCTGCATGGCCGCGTCCTGAAGCATGTGTGAAATCACCTCCTGCACTTTAAGTCACCTCCTCCATGCCGGAGCCTTCCTTTCTTCCCTGATCTCCATGCTGAGGTTGCAAGATTATGGGAAAGGCCATATTCTGCTCATCTGTTCTGCCCCAATGTGTCTAACTATTAGGGATGTAACAATACCAAAATCTCACGATATGATAATATTGTGATATAAGGGTCCACAATATGATATTTATTGCAATATTTAAAAAAGAATGAAGTTCGAATTAAAAGGATGAAATTAGAATTTTTTTAAATTTTGTACATTTTAAAATTAAAGTATTCTAATGAACTTTGAGAGTTCAAAATTAAGAGCTCTAACCCATGTTCTTAACTAAGAAAACTCAAGTCAGAAAAAAGTCAGTGAATGGACTTGTACCTGAATTTAAAGGGGACTCAGCCCTCTTTTTATTTGTGGCATCTCAGTCTAAATTACATTCACACTGGTGTTTTAGGAACCCAAACAAATTAGAATATAATAATAATAATAATAATAACAACAACAATGACAGTAATAGCTATATATTGTAAAATAATTGCACTGTAAAATAAATGAAAATGATTCATAGGTATATTATTTTAGCTTTACACTACAGTAGGGAAATGACAGTACTTCTTTCCTAATTTCTACACTTGAAAGAGATATTTTGAATTTGGACTGCATTTATACCGCTAGCTGTCAGCAATTCATGCTGCACTTTTAAGCTTTTATTTGGATGGAAATGGCAGTAGAGCTTTTATTTTAAAGGCAATCTCCAGCTTCAGTGAAAACATGCTTACAAAAACGCATCTCATTACAAATCTAGTGAAATGCTGTCATTTGCCGCGAAAATAAAGCATAACTGGTGGCTGTTGCATTCCCAAACGTGCGCTAAACGTACGGCACATGCAATAAAAGAGTTCACTGCATTCATTCACTGTAAACTGAGCCATTCTGAGGTGCGGAAAACACCAGATCACGAGCTGTTCGCCTCAACAATGTGTGCGCTTCGCTTTTAAACACGCAGCGAAAACAGACTTGATGATGGGATTTATGCACGGTATTTATAATATCGTTACATTCTTACTAACTATTCCAACATTTTGGGGCTGAAGCAGCAGGGCTATGGGGTGATGCCCAGGGTTGAACGGACACTTGCCAGCTATCTGTCACTTGAGTCAGCATTGTCCCTGAAGGCTTCGGCACTACCCACCAAGCTGCTCAGAACAACCTCTGCTTTGGTGGTTGAGGCTTTTTACAGCAACAGGCCAGGCTGGCGCATGCCTGCACACCACAGTGATGTTGCAGGCATACCAGGCTGACCTGCTTAGGGACCTGGATGAAGCTGAACGAATTTGCTCTGATGACATCAGGGAGCTGCGGAGGGCTGCAGATTTGTCTCTCCGGGCCACTAAAGAAACAGCCATAGCTATTGGTCGTTCCATGGCAGCCTTGGTGGCCACGAAGAGGCATCTCTGGTTGAACCTGTCAGACATAAAAGATAAAGATTTGGATGTCCCACTTGTTCCTTCGGGCCTCTTCTGTGATTTTACATTTACATTTAGTCATTTAGCAGACGCTTTTATCCAAAGCGACTTACAATTGGGGGATACATAAAGCGATTCTTCTTAAAGAGGCAAACAGACACAAGAAGTGGTTGTAATACCAAGTTCTTAGACATTGTTCAAATAAGTACAAATCATCTAGACAAGAGGTTAAAGTAGAGCATAAAGTGTCAGTTGCTGCATTCACATCCAGAGATGAGAAATGGGTAGGTGAGGGAAGAGAGGAGGATACAACGGAGGAAAGATGGGAGGGGGAAAGGGAGCGTAGGTTTCATCTAAAAGTAACCGGTATGGGGGTTGGTGGCACACAGGTAGCAAAATGTAGTTGAAATGTAATGAAGAAATGATCAGAGATATGTAGGGGTTTGACCAGAATGTTGTCTGCAATACAATTGCATGTGTAAATTAAGTCAAGTTGGTTGCATGATTTGTGCGTGCTTGTGGTGGTAAGTCGTTTGAGCGATTTGATGCAGCGAGCTTTGTTGTCAAGAGGTTCCAGGAGGGTATAAAGCAGGCAGTGGCATTGCAGCGGTTCCTCCCCCGCCGACTCCAGATCTCAGGGGCTGCTGGACAAGAGCAGCTGTCCTCTAGCTCCTCATATAGGGTGCAGCATAAGAAGAGCGTCGCTTCCTGAGCTCCCCCTCAGAACCATCAGGGGTCGGGCGGCTCTCTCAGCCAAAGCTGAAGATTGTCAACTGGACCCAATTAACTGCCAAGTTGGTTCAGTGCTGGAGTTCCAGCAAGAACGCTTCCCCACAGGGTTATCTCCCTCCACTCTTAAGGTATACGTGGCAGCTATATCTGCTTACCACGCCCTTTTGGATGGTCAGTCTTTGGAAAGGAACCTGTTGGTAACACGTTTCCTTCTTGGTGCTTTGAGGCTGAGGCCTGTAATATGCACTAGGGTCCAGGCTTGTGATCTGGCCATGGTCTAGATGAGCGAAGTAAGGCCCCTTTTGAACCTTTAGAGGATGTTCCGGAAAAGTTCTTGACACTAAATACAGTGTTTCTATTAGCCATCTCATCTCTCAAGAGAGTTTGTGACCTTCAGGCACTTTCCGTGGCCCCATCATGTCTTGACTGTACTTGGAATGGTGAAAGACTTATTGCACCCAAGGTTGGGCAATCTGCCGAAGGTGCCCACTCTTGTTCCACAACCCAATAGTGCTGCAGTCATTTTGTCCTCCTCCCTTCCGGGAGCCAGACCAGGAGAAGTTTATTTTGGTGTGTCCAGTTTGAGCACTGGACACCTGCGTCCACAGAGCTGCCTTGTGGAGGGAAAACTGATCAACATTTCGTCTGCTTTGGTCCGCCCAAGAGAGGTCTCCCGGCGACTAAACAGGTGGACATTATTAACCCTTTAGAACCTAAAGCTAAAATAGGCTGTTTTCACTCATTTTGGTTTTTTTGAGTATACAATTATAACACAATGTGGTATCTTCAAGTGCAAGGTATCTTTTTTTCAGAAAAGTATTGGCTTTCAGGAAATTACAGTTATTGTACATTATTGTGTGTAGTGAGTTAGTAAATTGAATTAGACAAAAAAATAAAAAACGGGAAGAAATTTTACTGCTTTTTATTTGAACTGAATTTAGAAATTAGAACTCATGAACGAAAGAATCTAATGCCTTAATCTTGAAAAAGGAACTATAATACATATATACAAGTCTTTTTGGGACACTGGATTGCACAGTTTTCACTCAGGAGCCATTTGTTTTACCCCAGTTCTCCAGGCGTTTTTGGATCCTTCAATCCAGTCATTTAAATGATTAAAAAGAGGGCTTGTGAAGAAATTGTCACAGTAAATCACATCAAACACATCAAAAGACAGGCCTTTCCCAGATGCTAATTTTGACTTCCCAGTGTAGATTTTAGCCATTGACATCAGCTAACACAAAAAGTTAGTAGGCTTGGCCTTCATATATTGCTTGTAGGATATTCTGGCTTAGGTGGCAATCATCCTCTCATCAACAGAAATGTGCTGTCTAGGGTGGTAAATAGACATGCACTTGTTCCTCATAATGTCCAAGAGTGGTTGCACTCTGTGGAGACAGTCGTATTCCTCTGTGCCCCTTTTCTTGTCATTCTCTGCATCTTCCATTGGATCACTGATGTGCAGATTGCAGGAGATTGCTAAGAAACGATCCCTGGACATCACAGTAGCAGGAAAGGGAACATGAAACAAAGTCTTCTTCCTCCAGAAGTCCCTCACTTTTGGCAGATCCATCACACCCATGTAGAGAAGCAGACCTATGTACTACTACATTTCTTCAGGGTATACATCAGCCCCTGTGAATTTCCTACCCCTCTCCAGATTTCTCACCGCATTCACACACACAAACATACAGATAAACATATGCACACACGCATGCACGTACACACACATACAGTGGGTACGGAAAGTATTCAGACCCCCTTAAATTTTTCCCTCTTTGTTATATTGCAGCCATTTGCTAAAATCATTTAAGTAAAAATTTTTCCCTCATTAATGTACACACAGCACCCCATATTGACAGAAAAACACAGAATTGTTGACATTTTTGCAGATTTATTAAAAAAGAAAAACTGAAATATCACATGGTCCTAAGTATTCAGACCCTTTGCTCAGTATTTAGTAGAAGCACCCTTTTGATCTAATACAGCCATGAGTCTTTTTGGGAAAGAGGCAACAAGTTTTTCACACCTGGATTTGGGAATCCTCTGCCATTCCTCCTTGCAGAGCCTCTATACACACACACACACACACACACACACACTTATACACACACATAGATATGTGCATGCACATACATACACACAAACATGAATGCATTCATGCACATGCATGCACACACACACATAATGTTACACGAGCAAACATGAACGCATGCATGCACATACGCACTTACACGCGTGTGCATATAAATGCACATATACCACATAAGTGTGTGAAACAGTGGTATTTCAAACTGAAACACGGCGTCTATGACTATTTTACTCACATTTCTCATAGATTCATCAGAAAGAAACATAAGCGTCACTTACTAATCCACATCTGGATCAATGCTAGCAGCATACGCCTCCTCAGCGTCTGAATACACAGATTCCGGGTCCGAAGAGTCATGCTCGGCCTCTTCCCAGGTGTCATCAAAGATCAACTCAATCGCCTCCTCTCTTGTAAAACCTTTCTTTGCCATGTTTTTGTCTGTTTTTTAATTATATTTTGCGCACTCAAACTCTCTAACCTGTTGCGCTCCATATCTCCCGCTTCAAATCCGTCCAACCCACTCTCCCCGAAAGCCGCTGTGATTTGCTGATGGAAAGCATGCAATTACCATACTAAGCCGTATATTGTCATAAAGCGCAAGTTGTCTACTATCAGGAGCAATTAGATTGTTTTTCATAGTGCAAACGGTTGGTGAGTTATGATAACATGAATACAGAATGATTAATTGTGTTGGCGCAGACACATCCAGTTTTAATGGGTTAAGCAGGTGGATAGTTGAGGCTATCGCCCTAGCTTATGAGTCCTCTGATGTCCCCTCACCTCTGGGGTTCAGGGCCCACTCAACTCAAGGTATGGCAGCCTCTAAAGGCCTTCTTATTTGGTGTTTCTATACACAATGTTTGTGAGGCTGCGGGTTCTACAATGTTTCTACCCTGCTCACCTTCGTCAGGTTTTATAACCTAGATGTTGGGACCACTCCAGGTTCAAGAGTGCTTCTGTCTTGAGGTGTGTGCTTCGACTTCACACTAAACAGGCATTCGTCAGTATGGCGGAGTTGGTATTCTTGTTTCCAAAGCATTTCCAACGCAGCATGAATTCTTGACGGGGAACAACTCTAGGTTATGCATGTAACCATAGTTCCCAAAAGGTAATGAAACTCTGCGTCACCCTGCCATACCTCCTGCATCAATGTGAGCACTTGTGTCTTCCTATCAGAAGCTAACGCTGTTTACACCGAGTGCCCTTTTAAGCTTCCTGGTCGCTACATCACCCCGCCTGTGATATCTCGCTACTCTGTTGGACTGATTTCACGTGTGCTTCAGGACGTGGTCATGCAGAGGCAGAGGAAGTCTCAGTTCACTTTTTGGAACCATGGTTACATGCGTAACCTAGAGACGCTTTTCATCACTTTGAGCTACAGTAGCTCTATTGTCTGACTAACCTCTGCATAACAGGAACAACCCTCAAGAGATGCCGTTTTAGAGATTCTCTGACCCAGTCACCTACCCATCTGTATTAACCCTTGTCAAAGTCATTCAGATCCTTTCACTTGCCCTTTATTCCTGCTTCTTATACATAAAATAAAAAAACTGACTGTTCACATCCTGCCTAATATATCCCACTCCTTGAAAGGTGCCACTGTAATAATATAAATCAGTATTATTCACTTCACCTGTCAGTGCTTTTAATGTTGTGGCTGATTAGTGTACATTACTGACTCTGTAAACATGTTAGTGTGTGATATTAAAGAAGATGAATAGGAATCCATATTGAAGTGTGAATGTGCTTGGACAGGGTAAAAATAAGCTCCTTATCTCCTAAGAAAATACCACTCTGGTGAACATTGTAGACAAGCTAAATCCCCACAAAATATTACCTTTTTGAAAGGAATACTCTTAAGTTGCTAATATGATTCTCATTTCTTAAGGCTTGCAGGTAAATTGTTCTATGCTTCTGTTTCTTTTTCATAGTGGAGGGTGGAAGTGTCTTTATTCGGGACTGGAGGGTGCATACACCGGCACAAAGCTCTCGAGTGAGATCCAAGCGCAAACCCCCTCCCACAGGTGCCCTGAAGACCCGGCTTTGCTGGTTCCACATACACCATCCCCACGGATGCCCTCTGCCCCGAGAGCACTGTGCTTTTGCTCATGGAGAGACTGACTTCAAAAACCCCTGAAGATGATTCAGACATGAACAGTAGCTTGTTTTGGAAAAAGAACATTTAGAAAAAGAAAAACACTCAAATATATTTTAGTTGAATTTTTAATTATCCCAGGTGCACTGTTTTTCTTAGACATTAGGTTTATTTTGTGTTTATGAAAATAACTGAATTTATTTCTGTTGTATAAGAAACATTAAAAAATTCATCATGTCCAACTGCGTACAGAGTTTATTGTACAACATGAAAAAATGAATCATGTCCAACTGCGTACAGAGTTTATTGTACAAACATTTTAAACTTGTGTAATGGAATGCAGCAACTTTTGGCAAGAAATCCCCCAAAAAATAAGGCTCTTAAAAAGTAAGCATATTTCAAGTCTGAATTGTTAAGAAAAGGAAAGGTTTCTTTAATTTGCTTTCTGCATAAGGAATATCTTTCAAAAAAAAATTTACACAAAAAAATTATCCACATGAATGATTCATTTGATTCACTGTGAGGCATTTTACCCATGCGCCATTCCCATTTATGTCAAACCATGAGTTACAACAGCTTCCTGTTTCATGGTATTAAAGGGTTAGTTCACCCAAAAATGAAAACTACCCTGTGTTTTACTCCCCCTCAAAGCATCCTAGGTGTATGTGACCACCTTTTTTCAGACGAATCCAATCAGAGTTATATTAAAATTGTCCTGGTGCCTCCAATCCTTTCAATGGGGGAGTTGGTTATCAACAGCTCAGAAGACATGAAATAAAGTGCGCGCATCCGTAATAAAATGTCCCTCACATGGCTCCGGGGGGTGAATAAAAGCCTCCTGTAGCAAATCTGCCGGAACGTCTTCCGCGCACCACAGTCAGCGGAAGTGAGAGAAAAGTGTTTATTACATTTGAAATACGGATATTTATCTTACAAAAATGCATGGATTCGCTACAGGAGGACTTTATTCACCCCCTCTGCGTAATATTATAACACCATCTCCCTGTGCTGCTATTATCCCATCTAATTTGCCATTTATTAACTTTTTCTTTAAAATCGATTTTGCCTCCTTTTTCCCCATAGGCACTTTGATATCCACCTCCATCTTGTCTAGTGCTTTTTTTGCTAGTTTATCAGCAACTTCATTACCAGATAACCCAACATGTGCTGGCACCCAACAAAAGTATACCATTATTCCAGCCTCTTTCAATCTGTATAAAGATAGATACACTTCCATTAATAAATCCTCTCTGTCTGATCTCGCATGTGCTATACTAATTAAAGCTGAAGACGAATCTGAACATATTACCACTTTATTTGGTCTGACTTGTTAAATCCACTGTAGTCCTATTATTATAGCTGTTAACTCTGAAATTGCCAGAGGATTTATCAGTATACACTGCAAACTAATTCGTACTTTAAATTTTGGAATATATACACCTTTTCCAACCTTTTGATTAACAGGTTCCTTAGATCCATCCGTAAATATTTGTAATGTTGAATCAAATTTATTATTTAGAATAGCATTAACCTCCTTTCCAATGTATTCACCTTTGGGCTTGTCTAGTAAGCTCAAGTCTACAAGTGGTTCAGGGACTCTCCATAGTGGGGCATCAGTGAGTGGTACATTTGGACAGAAGATCTTATTATCCATGCCATACTCCTTGGCCCATACTCTTCCATCCAAAACTACATCCTCCATCATACGAATATTCCCAGCGCTCCTCCAGTACTTTACGAATGAGTTGAGTACTTACTGATTGTTGAAGATTCACCCAATACGTCATTGTAAATTTTATCCTTCTAAGTTCAAGAGGCATCTCGCCCATTTCTACCCCAATTGCATCGACAGGTCCTTACCTATTTTAATGAGCAACAGAAAATAAAATGCCCGCTCATACATGTACTCGTGCCGCATTGCAACGCATTTAGTCAGAAGAGGGAGCGCTCATTTAAAGGGGCCACACCTCTATTTCACTCGTTACCTTGGTTCAGCGATAGTGAAGAGTTTATTATAAAAGTCATGTTTAGTGATAGTTTAAAGATAATTAATCATGAATTTGTTTCAAATATAAAGATACTACTACTAATAAATTATTTCCAGTCAGTAGCCCATGTACAATGTAGTTAATAGTAGGACATTCTTAAACTGGAATTTACTATTTGTGTATTCAGTTGGGCTTACAGCAATTATAGTACTTTCATGGAGTGTAGCTGCAGTAGGGATGTAACGGTATGAAAATTTCTTATCACGATTATAGTGACCAAAATGATCACGGTTATCAGTATTATCACGGTATTGTTAAAATGTGCTGGAAATGTTCAAAAAGTACTGACACACAAATTATTTCACAAAGTTTTACATTTAAAATCAACAAACAACAAATAAAATGAGTTTTTGTTTGCATAACTAAACAACATGGCCAATGATGTCCGGATTTTAAATGACAACATGACTGACAGTTTATCTAATAGCAAGTTCAAATATCTAATGTAAATGTCAAATATCTAATGTAATAAAACTGTGATTTATGCTTCAGGGCTCCAGACTCATTCTTCCCACTGGTCGCTCTTTTGCGACTAACTTTCTCAGTTGGTCACACCAGCACATGATTTGGTCGCAATATTTTTATTTTTAGGGATTAATCAATGCATGCTGATGAACTTTTATCATAGTTTATAGTTATAAGAAAACGAAAGTGGTTAACCCCTTATTTTTCATCAGTATTATTTGTGATTTGAATTTTGTGAACGGGAGTTTCTCTTTAGCTTTGTTATAAGCCTGGCTTCGGATGCTTTCACTTTCGAATTCGCGATCTTGGTGTCACGTTTTACAAGAATTGTCTCATTTGCTTACATACTATACATATTTCACTTTTTAAGACTAAAACAAAAGATTGATTCATTGTTATTCTTAATTAAAAAGCATAACAACAATAAAACAGTAAGATACAATGACAAACTAGCTTACAAAACGTTTATTAACAAAAACGAATAA